GCCAGTAAGCAAAAGCACAAAGCTAACTAAGCTCACTAGCAATGCTCAATAACAAGGCAACCAATGCCTAATTAGAGAGCGTAAATACTTAGCTACACAAACTAAGCAATGTGACTAACAAGGTTACTAAAACCAAATTAGCCACGCAAGGGAGCTACTTCTATGCTACACAAGCAAGAAGGTAATTAGCTAGCTACATAAGCTATCTAATTACAAGAGCAACAACACAAGCTTAAGATATATATATAAGTAATTGCAAGCTTGTGTAATGGGGATGCAAACCAACGGGAAGAACAAGGTTGACACGATGATTTTTCTCCCGAGGTTCACGTGTTTGCCAACACGCTAGTCCCCGTTGTGTCGACCGCTCACTTGGTGGTTCGGCGGCTAATTAGCATCACCCGCTAAGCCCGCACGTCGAGCACCGCAAGAACCTACCCCTTGAGTGAGGGTAGCTCAATGACACGCTTTACTAAAGTTGCTCTTCAGACTCCATGAAGCGAGCACAAGTACCCCTCACAAGCACTTCTCCGGAGAGCGCCAAGACAAGCTTCTTGCGGGCTTCGACGGAGACCACCACCAAGCCATCTAGGAGGTGGCAACCTCCAAGAGTAACAAGCACCACTGGCTTGCAACACGACCACCTAGTGCCACTCGATGCAACCTCACGATGTAATCGCACTAGAATCGCTCACTCACACAATCGAATGATCACTATCAAGTATATGTGTGATGGAGGGCTCCCAAGCACTCACAAGCATGGACACTAAGTCCCTTGAGGTGCTCAAGACCAGCCATGGCCGAGGGCACTTCTATTTATAGCCCCAAGGGCTAAACTAGCCGTTACCCTTTCATCAGGGCAGCGGTCGGGCCGACCGGACGCTCCGGTCGTGTTGACCGGACATCGGACCTCGGCGTCCGGTCGCCCATGACAGACGCCCACGTGTCCTGCTCCAACGGTCACTTGACTTGACCAGACGCAGCAGCTTTCAAGCGGCCGGACGCTGAACCCCGGCGTCCGTCGCTTTCCGATAAGGTACCGACCTCGGCCGGACGCGTTCGGTCACACTTGATCGGACGCGGCCGGCGTCGGTCACACTCCAGTGTTCTCGTCGTCATCGTATAAGTCACCGACCGAACGCAACTGCCAACGTCCGGTGCATTCAGATCCAGCGTCCGGTCGGTTGACCGACGCCAAAGATCTTCAGCGACTAACTCGTTTTCACTTCTAACTTCATCACCCTTGCTCCAATGTGCTAACCACAAGAACTTGCATCCGCGCAAGAATAGAAAATAGGCATTCTATTTTCCCGAAAAGCGTCGAATCCCACCGCATAAGCTCGACGGAGGGAAAAGAGGACCCAAACCCATCTCACCCTCGCAAACACCACCTCCTTTGTAAATATGCCAACACCACCAAATGTACACCACCATGTGTATGTGTGTTAGTATTTTCACAATCATTTTCCAAAGGATGTTAGCCACTCAACTTGCCACGCCACTCGATCCTAGCGACAATGCAAAGTTAGATCACTCGAGTGGCACTAGATGACCGATATACAAACAAGTTTGCCCATCTTGATAGTACGGCTATCTATCCTAAACCCGGTCATAAACTTCTCTACACACCTATGACCGGTGAAATGAAATGCCCTAGGTTATACCTTTGCCTTGCGCATTCCATTCCATCTCCTTCAATGTCGATGCAACACATGCACCAACACGATCAACAATGATATGATCCACTTCATATTATCACATGATCATATTGGTTCATCGATCTTGACTCTACTTGCTCTTCACCGTTGCCATCGTCCATCGGCGCCAAGTCTTGCTCAAGCTTCACCGCCACGCGGTCCATCACTCCAAAGCCTTCGACTTGCCCTTCACGCTTGCAACCGGTCCATCAAGCCAAGTCTTGTCTTGATCTTCTCCACCTTGATCACATGACTCAATGTCATGTCTCATGTGCAATAAGCTCCTTCATCATCACATGTGTGAGCTTTGCAACATCTCCAAGCCATTTTCACCTCCATGGCATATGTTGCTCATACACATGTACCTGTGGACTAATCACCTATGTATCTCACATAAACACAATTAGTTCACCTAGGTTGTCACTCAATTACCAAAACCAACAAGGACCTTTCAACTGTGTAATTCAAAAAAAAAACTTCGCAACATTTAGGAACCAATCCTTAACTGCAACGAGGCTTGTTGTAAATATATGGGGTGTTTGGAACTGTTCCGCTCTCGTTTTTGTAGCTCCGCTCCGGCTCTGCGTTGCCAAACACCCTCAGCTTCAACAACTCTGCTAAAAAAAGGTGGAGATAGCGACCAACTCTATGTTTTTTCTGGAGCACCTCAAGAGGTACTTCAGTTTTTTAACTTAGAGCATCTCCAATAGTTCCCTAAACATCCTCCTAATCCTTGTTTTTTAAGAAAGATTGGAGAAAACCTCTCTCCAACAACTCCTAATATTTACTCCTGATCTTTTAGGACTTGGGGAAATTCCTTCCCCTTCCGCGTAACTTTACGAGGACGAAGCAGCGCGTGGAGACACCGTTCCCGCGCGTCGTCCTTCTTCCCGTGCAGTATTTTGTCGCAAGGCCATCTTTCGCGCGCTCTCCATCGGTGGTTCTGGGTCGCGGTAGAAAGAAGTCGCTCCTGCATCGCTCGCCACCAGGAACTCGCCGCTCCATCGCTCGCCGCCAAGAAGAGGATCGACACCGTGGCGGACATGGGCTTGGTGCGCCGCCGCCGCCACCTTGGCTTCGTGCCGGTCGCCGCCGTCGTAGGCTGGGAGGTGGTGTCGTGCTTCCTTTCTTGTTCGATTGCCCCACCGCCAGCCTACCGTCCATTTGATTTCGGAGTTGCATCAACATCCATCCATCTATCTAATCGATCTATAGTAGTATCCTGTATCGATCCCATGTATACATCAAAGTTACGCACTTGGGAAATACTTGATGGCCGGCTGCAAGCTGATGGCTACCTGTTGCTGCTACTTGATGGCCGGCAACCTGCTGATGCCTAGCTGCTGCGTACTACAGCATGGTACTGTATGCATGCGTGGTACTGAACCACTACAAGTGCTGGGAGGAGCAGGCCACCGCCTGGGACGAGCAGAGCTAGGGCAACGCGAAGGAAGATGGCGGCAGCGGGGTACGTATGCGCGGGGACGAAGAGGTACGCACGAAAAAAAAGACAGAAAAAAGCTGAGTGTGACCAAATTTGATTATTGAGAAATGAAATATTAGAAACTATTGGAGATGGTATTTTTTTCTCCTAATATATTTTTGGAGTTGAAAAACATATAGTTTTAGAGGAAAATTTAGAAAACATTTGGAGATGCTCTTATGTACTTCCTCATGAAGTTGAAAAAAATTACCTCAAATTGTCACTCGTTAATGAAAGCACCATCAGCGGCTCGGTCGCTTGCTCCTGCGGACCGTGCATGCCCGCATGGTGCTCCTCAGCATTGCCGACTTCCGTGGGCCTGGATGCCACCGTCGCTCATCTCAGCTTTTTATTTGATTATTCAGCCTGTTGCTTGTTGTTTCAGTCAGATTTATTCAATCAGTACAATAATATTTTTCTTTTAAAAAATTAGCACCAGTCAACCCAAATCAGCATCAACACCAGCATCGACTAGCGAACAGGCCGATTATTTTAACTAAACTATTTGCAACAACAATACTTCGCATCACATTATTTGCAAAGAAGAACGAGCAGCTAGTTCCACTTGGCTGCGTGCCTGTTCGCTTGGAGGAATTTGAAAGAATCTGGATGAATTTGTGAGAGCGTAAACAATGTTTTTCATCCGAAAATAATAAAATCTGGTTGGTTTTCACACCAGCCGAACGCAGCCTGCATGTGCTGAGTACTGCTTGAATGAACAAACGTGCTACCTACTACTTGTAGGTGCCGGTTCTAATCAGGAGTATAATAGACCATTTACACGAAAACAACATATTTTTGAAGTTAGAACTAGGCTGTGTGTCATACGGTACCACCTGCTCTACAAACTTCACGATAGAGTTGCTTTATGATAAAGTTGATGAAGCGGAGCTATAAAAATAAGAGAGGAGCAGTCCCTAACACACCCATAATATTCTTGGAAAGGTCATCCCTCATCAAACCACGCGATTACCACTGCACAATGGATCCCGCGAGATATCTCTGGACGGATGGGCCCAGATCTTGCTTACAGGCAGGTGGTCCCCAGTTATCGCGTTGGATCCAGCTGGGCCAATCCGGGGCCCAGCGACCACTCCGGGTCCCGCTGCGGATCCCTTGCTCCCGGGACGCAGAGTCCCATACACGCTACACGAGCCGTAACCTCCGCTCACCCCACGACGCGTGTCCCGGAATAGCCGGTCCCTCTCCCATGGGCCCCCTCTCCACCACCACAGCCCCACTTACACCGCGCCGGGGCCACCTGTCATCTATATTTTTTTCGTTAATGTAGCACTGGTCCAACCTGTCAGAAAAGCTTGGGGTGGCTGGGAGGTCACGAGTCACGCACGGATGCGAATCTTAAGGCCATGCGCATGCTAATGCTTGCCCTAATCCGAATGGCCGCTCCCATAATACACCTTAAGTTTTCATGAATGCGCTGCAAATTTGACCATCATGCGTGGGGCCACGCCGCGGGCCCGCGCGTCAGCGAGCTGGGCAAACGACAACGCGCCCTGGGCCGTCGGATGCGCGCCCGGCGCGCAGATTAATGCGGCTGGCCCCGGTACAGGTCAGCCGGGTCCCCCGGCGTGACCCGGTTGGGCGGTGGCCCCGGGCGTCATGGTCCCACCGCCAAGTGACACCGCCTGATAAATCTAGCTCTCTCGCCCGAGGCGGCGAGCCAAGTAAACCGTCCGAGGCGAGCCCCACCTCTGCGCTCCCACGCGGAAGGAGAGGGACGAGCGAGCCACCGAGCGTCCCAGCGAGCGCGGTTACACGAAAATCCAATCTCTCCCCCCCGCCTCGTTTCGATTCGCGCCATGGAGGCGCAGGCGCAGGACAACAGGGCGGAGGACGGGGACGGCGCGCGGCAACACCACGTAGCCGGCGGCGTCGCGACGGCGACGGCGGCGGCGGCGGGGATGGCGATGGGCGCGATCCCCATGCACGGGTTCATGGTCCCGAAGCCGGAGCCGGTGGAGTTCTTCGGCGGGATGGCCATGGTGCGGAGCAAGCCCCCGCCGCGGAACCGCGACCGGCACACCAAGGTGGAGGGCCGGGGGCGGCGGATCCGCATGCCCGCGGCGTGCGCGGCCAGGATCTTCCAGCTCACGCGGGAGCTAGGGCACAAGTCGGACGGCGAGACCATCCGGTGGCTGCTGCAGCAGTCGGAGCCCGCCATCGTCGCCGCCACGGGCACCGGCACGGTCCCGGCGATCGCGACCACGGTCGACGGCGTGCTCCGCATCCCCACGCAGTCGTCCTCGTCCTCCAGCCCCTCGTCGCTCACCACCGTGGTCGACGGCGACGAGACGTCTGCCGCCAAGCGCCGCCGGAAGCTGCAACCCACGCGCGCGGCCGCCGGCGCGTCCCCGCTCGCCACCGCGGCTCCCGCGGCGGCGTACTACCCTGTCATCGCCGACCCGCTCCTGCAGGGCACCGGCGGAGCGGCCATCTCGGTGCCGAGCGGCCTCGCCCCCATCACCGCGTCGGGCGCCCCGCAAGGGCTCGTCCCGGTCTTCGCGGTCCCTGCGGCCGGCAGCCCCGGCGGCGCCGGCAACCGCATGATCCCGCAGGCCACCGCCGTGTGGATGGTGCCCCAGCCTGGCGCCGCGGCGGGTGGCGGCGCGGCCACCCAGCCCACGCAGTTCTGGGCCATCCAGTCTGCGCCGCAGCTCATCAACCTCGGCGGCGCGCAGACCGCCGTGTTCCCCGCGGCGGTGAACGTCGCCGACTTCCAGCAGCAGCATCAGCCCATCTCCAGCATGTCTCACAACAGCAACTCGGAGCAGCGGCACCTGCAGCAGTCCCACGAGCAGCAGCGCGGCGACGTCGACCATCCGGAGGAGGACGATGACGACGACGACGACGAGCCGGTGTCCGACTCCAGCCCAGAAGAGTAAACACGGCACACCGTACGCCCAGAAAGTCCAACCCCCCAAAGCTTAGGTTCTTTTGCTCTAATTTAATCTCCCCTCCCTCCCTCCCCCCGCGCTGCTGCAATCCTCCTTGTGATGAACTACATAGCAGCTCACGTTCAGTGACCCCCAGTGTTAGTGGTAGGGAGAAGAAGAAGATGATGAAAGAGGTAGTAGAAGCAGCGTGTAATGCAAATGAAAATTGAGCAGCTGATTTGTTATTGAGTTAATTAACGACCTTTTGCTAATATATATATATATATTTTTTTTACTTTCTCGTCATTTTTGTTTGCTGAGTCTGAGGAGGGATGGGTTTTAGGACTCGACTCTGCTACAAATGCTACTACCAGTTGCTAGTTGCTAGGGATGCAGGCGGAGCGGCAAGCACGTGCGTACGTGGTGGCAAAATTTAACGCACACGGCCGGAGGTGGGGGCCGGCGGGGGTGGGTTGCTTTTCTTTGGCTCCGGCGGGTGGGGCCGGGAGCCGGTGGTTCCGGGTGCGGTGGGGCGCGCGGGCCCCGGGCGCAAAGCGATGTGGTGGTGGGTCAAAGCGCGCCCTCGCGGACCGTGCGGGGGCTCTCTGTAGAGAGCGAGCGCACCAGCGGCAGCGCCGGCTGGCCGGGTGGGGGACTGGGGACAGACAGCCAGCCACGAGCTGCCCGTCACGTGACCGGTGGCGCGGGCCCCGCCTCGGTGCCGCCGCGCCGCGTGGTGGGGGCCTCGGCGGCCGCGGCGGTAGGTGTGGGGTCCTGCCTGCGACCTGGCCCCGCTGGCCCGCTCGCGGCTGGTGGGCACCGGCCCCGACACGTGTTGGGAGGCTGGTGGTGTGGCCGCGCGGGCCCCCCGGTGCCGTGCCGTGCCCCTCCGTCCACTGTGCAGTGCTCCTCCCTCTCCCTGCCGGGGGACCCGGTCCCGGTGGGGCCGAGGTTGCGGGTGGCGTGGGACCCTGCTAATATCCGCACGCTGCATCCCAAATCCAGTCACAGTTGCAGTTGTAGGTTAACATAACATGAGGAGTGTATTAGCTTCAAATTATTCAGTACTCCACCGTTAATTGCAGTACAAATGAGGTTGCTACGGTTATCGCTTATAGACAAAAAAAAAAAAAAAAAAAAAAAGAAAGGCGTCGGCGTCTGGCGCCGTGCCGGCAGCAGGCAGGCAGCAGCCGACATGCCCGTGGCGGCTCCCGGGTAGAAAAGATAATGGAAAAAGGGTGGGGATGCTTATAAAAGCCGAATTACTGTAACTGCACCTGTGCCCTTTGTCTTACCACAACTGACAGAACGAGCGCAAGTACTGCTACTAGTCGTGTAGCAAGCAGAAGCAGTACGGCGATAAGCCGGAGAGAAAGCGGCCGCGCGGCTTTTCCTGCCGGCGAGTGGCGCGCGCACGCACGCTCGCGCTGCGCGCTTTCTACCCTACCCTAGATAGCCCGTAGGGCTCCTCCAGAGAACACATGTCCGCGTCGATCCTAATTTTTCCCTCTTGTATAAACTGAATCCCCACAATTGGATTTACCATAATCGCAAGCCAGCTCAAAATGTGTGCTTCAAATTTGTAAGAATAATAAGTCAAACAGTGACAAATTTAGAAGTCAACTCTTCTTGAGTGACGAGCATTTCACCGCGCTTGGGCAGATGCTTAGAATGGAGTTCCAGTACAGTTTCGAAGTGCACAAAGTTTCCTCACAAAGTGAACATTCATAATGTTGGAGTCAGGCTAACAAATCTTTTTGCACGATTGTCATGCTCTTTTTACTGGAGAGGATGATACTTGGGAAGATTGCCTTCTCGGTGATTTTGAGAGGACTAAAACAAATAATTACGGGGCAGTGTGCTCTTGTCATATTATTTTTACTCAAATGAACCTTTATTTTAAATGTATCTCTTTTGCTTACTGTCGGGTATCGATATTAGGGATACCCAAAGTAAGGAAGTTAACGACCACGCCGACTTCCTCGGATGGCTCTGTCTTGCCCGACCTCGAGGTCGCGGGACCTCGAGGCCGCGAGCTCCGTCTCGCCCGACCCCTTGGGTGCGGGCTCCGTCTCGTCCAACCCCAAGGCCGCGGGTTCCGTCTCGCCCAAGGCCACGGGCTCTATCTCGCCCGACCTCGAGGCCGCGGGCTCCGTCTCGCCCAACCCAAGGATGGGGGTTCCATCTCGTCCGACGGGGACCCATACCGCCGCCAACCACTCCAGGTCTAAGCGTATGGGCCTGGATCAAAACTCTGACGTCAGGGAAGAGGCTGGCACGCCACGATATAACCCGTGGCCATGACGGGTCATACCTGAGGATTCACATCAAGAACAGTGTTGGACGTGCCGGTGCTGTTCTGCCGAATCCTCGTACGGATGCTGATAGGCACGTCAGTTCACCACGACATCCACCGGGACAGAGTGAAAAGCCATGACTGACAGATGACGCCTGCGCATGGCGCCAATGACGAACAGGGCCGTGACATGGAGCCATCCCTGTTCACATCTACAGGATCGGCGGGACCCGCATGAAGGAGAAGAAGGACCCGGCAAGCCTGAAAGCCTTCTTCTCTCTCTCGTTCTTCTCCTTTTTCTCCTCTGTAACCCGCGCTTTTCCTTCGCATATAAAAGGGTAAGCAGGGCGCCCCATGAAAAAGAGGGGGATAAAAATACAAGAGCACGACACGAGCACACGGCTGAGTGGCAAGCGAGCTCTCAGCATCCGTTCATTTCTTCCACCAGAGACTTGGGATCCTCTCCCTCTCTCGCCTGTTTGTAATCCCTACTACAAACCAAGTGCAGGTAACACGAGCAACATCGAACTGTACGTAGAGACGTTTTGTCCGAACCAGTATAAACCCTTGTGTCCTCCGAGCACACCATCCGAGCCAGACGCGCAAATATAAATTTACTCATCGGTGGTCAAAAACACCGACAGTTGGCGCGCCAGGTAGGGGCCTTTTGCGCGTCTCAACGTCCACATCAGGCCTCAGATGGCTAGTCACGGCTCAGCTGGGTCCCGGGCGCGCACGTGCGGTTCGGGAACCTGGACTTCATCATTACGATGGAGGGAGAGTTGGTGCAGGTTCCCGCTGAAAGGTCCTAATATGGCTAGAGGGGGGGGGTGAATAGCCTATTTAAAAACTACAAATCAACTAGAGCAATTTTGATTAGTAAGACAAATAGCGAAATGTAAACTTGCTCTAGCTCTACAAGGGTTGCAAGCCACCTATCCAACAATTCTAGTTGCAATGATCTATTGGCACACAATCTACTTGACCACTACTCACTAAGAGCTCTCACAAATGCTACACTAAAGAGCTCCACTAGATATGTTTAAAGCACAAGGCAAGCTCTCAATTCTAATTACACTAAAGAGCTTGCTATATCTAATTTGCGGAAATATAAATGAGTAAGTGAGACGATTATACCACCGGGTCGTGGAGTGAACCAATTACACGATGAATATATAGCCAATCACCGGGAGAATGCAAATGACAAGAGACAACCGATTTTTCTCCCGAGGTTCACGTGCTTGCCAACACGCTAGTCCCCGTTGTGTCGACCAACACTTGGTGGTTCGACGGCTAAGAGGTGTTTCACAAACCTCATCCACACGATAGGACACCGCAAGAACCGACCCACAAGTGAGGTAACTCAATGACACGAGCAATTTACTAGAGTTACCTTTCGGCACTCATGGGAAGGTACAACTCCCTCACAATCACCGAAGGCGGCCACGAACAATCACCAACTCGTGCCGATCCTTCACACGCTGCTCAACTGGCTCAGGTGGTGGCAAACCACCAAGAGAAACAAGCGAAATCCATAGTCAAGAACACGAATACCAAGTGCCACTAGATGCAATCACTCAAGCAATGCACTTGGATTCTCTCTCAATCTCACAATGATGATGGATCAATGATGGAGATGAGTGGGAGGGCTTTGCTAAGCTCACAAGGTTGCTATGTCAATGAAAATGTGCAAGAGAGAGCCCTTGAGCTAGCCATGGGGCTATAAATAGAGCCCCTTCAAATAGAGCCGTTGTACCCTTCATTGGGCAAAAACACGCTCTCGACCGGACGCTTCCGGTCAAACCGACCGACGCTGGGCCTCGCCCTCGTCGGTCAGCCGATGGAGACGCCACCACCACTTCAAACGCTGTTCAATCGATTTCAACGACATCTGACGGACCAGACGCCTTCGGCAAAACCGACCGGACGGCCAAGACCCAAAGTCCGGTCATTTCAATAAGCTCCCGAGGCGTATTTCTTCGACCGACGCGTCCCGTCCCTCCTCGGACCGACAGACCAGCGTTCGGTGCTCAACCTTACCCATCTTGTTGCTCGATCGGCGGACTCGGCCGGACGCAGCCTTTTCAGCGTCCGGTCATTGAGTGACACATCCGGCCAGATGACCGACGCCAAAGATCATTTCGACTCAATCCACTCAAACTCATAACTCTAACTTCTTCCCCCTTGCTCAAATGTGCCAACCACCAAGAATTTTGCATCCGGCGCAATAGAAAATAGACATTTCATTTTTCCAAAAGCGCATGTGTTAGAGTTAGAGAGGGACCAAACCCATCTCAACCCCGCAAACACCTTGTGCACATGTGTTAGCATATTTTCACAAATATTTTCAAGGGTAGTTAGCACTCCACTAGATCCTAAATGCATATGCAATGAGTTAGAGCATCTAGTGGCACTTTGATAACACGCATTTTCGTCTGAGTTACACTCCTCTTAATAGTACGGCTATCTATCCTAAATGTGATCACACTCACTAAGTGTCTTGATCACTAAAACAAAATGGCTTCTACATTTTATACCTTTGCCTTGAACCTTTTGTTTTTCTCTTTCTTCTTTTCCAAGTTCAAGCATTTGATCATCACCATGCTATCACCATTGTCATGATCTTCGTCATTGCTTCATCACTTGGAGTAGTGCTACCTATCTCATAATCATCTTGATAAACTAGGTTAGCACTTAGGGTTTCATCAATTAA